GTTTTGCAGGATATATTATTCTTGGCTGGCAATTTTTCTCTTTCAAGGTTTTATATACATCATCCCATTGCCTTCTTGCCTGTATGGTTTCTGCCAAATAATCTGAGCTTAGTCTTATTGTTTCTCCTCTGTATGTGACTTTTTGTTTTTCTCGAGCTGCTCTCAGGATTCTTTGTCTTTGTTTTAGTGAATGTGAGTATCATATGCCTTGGTGATTTTCTTTTGGGGTCTATGCTATATGGGGTTTGTTGAGCTTCTTGGATGGTCAGCTTTTCATCTTTCATGATATTGGGGAAGTTTTCTGTCAGCAATTCTTCGATGATCTTCTCTGTGTTTTCTGTTTTCTCCCCATTCTGGAACTCCAATCACTTGCAGATTTTTGCTTTTGATTGTATCCCACATAACTCTCAGGGTTTCTTCAGTTTTCTTCATTCTTTTTTCTGACTTTTCCTCAAACAGAGATGTATGCAAGTGTTTGTCTTCAATTTTGCTGATCCTATCTTCCATTGTTTCAAACCTACTCCTCAGCCCTTCTATGACACTGTCCATTTCTGAAATCTTGTTGTTTATCTTTTGGATTTCTAATTATTGTTTTTGCATGATTTCTAGTTGTGAATTTACTTTAGCATTTTGTTCCTGTATTATTTTCTTGAATTCTCCTTTTTTTTGGTCTGTATTTTCCATTAATTTGTCTGTTTTTTCCTCATTTTTGTCTGCTTTTTGCTTCAACTCTTGGATAATTCTGAATATTAGAGACCTGAATTCCCTATCAGTTAGGTCTAGTGCCTTTTTTTCTACTGGAAGATCATCTGGTGTTTTATTTTGGATGCCTACTGGAACCATCCTGTCCTGTTTTTGTAAATTTTTTGATATTGTCTGCTGTCTTCAGAGCATTCAGTGGTTATTTTCCTCTTTTATTGACACAGCAGGGCCAGTCCAGCTGAAGGGGAGTGGCTGGGATGGATTGTTTGTGGCACGTACCAGGGTTGACAGTGGGGACTGGGAATCAGTGCAGGGCAGGTTCCAGTAGGCCATGCCTGTGCTGCTTGGGAGTGTGATGTTCAGCGCACGGTGCAGGTAGGCAGGTAGGAGGGGGTAGATTGTGATGTGTGGAGCTAAGATGGGTATGGGAAAGATGAGAGAGAGGAGAGGAACAGGGGCCAAAAACATACACAGAAACAGCAAAGACTGCTAAGGGAGCTTGCTATTGGAGTGGAGAGATGAGAGATTGAGAAATGGGGAAAAACAAAAATGAATAAAAAAGGGTAAAAGAAAAAAATGAATAAATCAAGAAACTGGAAATGAAGAAAGCCAAAAACAAATAAGAGAGAGAAGAAAACAAAACAAAGAAACAACAACAACAACAAAAAAAAAAACCCAAAAATAAAAGAAAAAAAAAAGAAATGCCCCCAGCGATGTCCTTGTGTGTCTGCGCAGAGTAAGGGAATAGCTTCCAAACTGCACAGTACTGCCTGTCTAGAAGGGGCTCCCTAGCCGAGAAAAGAAAAAGAAAACAAATCAAAACAGAACAAATAGAGCAAACAAACAAACAAAAAAGCCCCAGGGGTCCCACCAGCATGGTGGCACAGGCCAGGAAGCAGTTTCACAGTTGAGCGGTGTTTCGCAGCCTTTCAGGAAGAAGCAAAGATGGCACACAGAGCCAGGTATTTGAGAGAAAGGAGGAGGAGGTGGTGAGAAGTAAGGAAGAAATCTAAAGAAGCAGAAAAAAACAACACAAGCAGCCAACAAAAGGCACTCAGGGAGCCAGCCAGTGTGGGCGGGTGGAATCCAAGTGACACCGGGGTGAAGGTTGTGCTTCCTGGCCAAGAGACTGTGGCTACAGGAAGCAAAGGAGGCTAAGTGGGGGTGAAGAAGGGTGGGAAGTGGGAAAGCCTATATAGCTGGTTACCTGTTGTTCTGTCTCCTGCTGGAAGCTCTCTGAAGCTGCTTTCTCATACCCCCTGTTTGCTGATCTCCCATACGAGTCCAAGATGGCAGATCTGTGCTGCGGTAGCTGATAGGGGATCTCTGTGTGTATCTCTCCTCGCTCTCTGTTCTCAGTCAGTTTCTTATTCCATTCAGTGCTTGGCTGAGTTCTTTATCTCTTCATTTGATGCTTAGGGTTTCAGAACTGAGGTGTGATTCTGTTTGACTTAGTTTTTCTGATCTTTGCTGTGGAGGGACGGCGTGGTGCTTCTGACTATAGTGCCATGGTGCCCGGAAGTCCTCGGCAGCCAAGCTCTTAACCGCTGCACCACCATCTAGCAGTTGTAAAATCATATCTCATGATATTCTCAATTTTCATTTCCCTGGTTATTAATAAAGTAGTACATTTCTTTATATGTTTATAAGCATGTTATTTCCTCTTTGGAGTTCCTGTTCATGTACTATGCCAATTTTTATTGAGTTGTTTTTCTTTTCCAATCAGTTCTTTCTATACTGCTGATACTAATCCTTTCTCTGCTATATGAGCTGCACATATCTCCCAGCTTTTACTTTGTCTTTTCACATTCTAGAGTGTTTTTGAACAGAAATTTTGTAATTTTCACGTGGTCAAATCGATCAGTTTTTTCTTCTATGTTAGTTCCTCTGTGTCTTATTTATATCATATTTTCTGACCTAAGGTCAGAAAAATATTTGCTTACATTTTCTTCTAATAGTTTCGAAGTTTTAATTTTGACATTAAAGTTTGCAGTCGATCTGTAATCTCTTTACGCATGGAAGAAGATAGACATTTTTTCCATAGGGATAACCAATTTGTTGAATAACCTTCCTTTCCCCAGTGATCTGTCATGCTAACTCTGTCAAATATAAAAGTTTGATACGTTCATGAATAGGCTTTTTGTCCTTTCCTCTATTTCATTAGTCAGTTGATCTATTCCTGTACTGATACCATGGAGTCTTATTTACAACAGCATTATAGTGCGTCTTGGTACCTAGTAGGGCAAGTCTCTACTTACTCAACTTCTTTATAAGTGTTTTTACCTATTCTTGGTCCTTTGCTCTTCCAAATATATTTTAGAATCAACTTATCAAGTTCTATGGACAGTATCTCTTAACATTTTAATGGGGTTGCATTAAATCTATAGATCAATTTGGAGAGAACTGGTATCTTTATAATAGTAATTCTTCCCATCTTGGTTAAGAGATCGGCTGCTACAAAAGGTCAGCAGTTCGATTTCCTTGGAAACCCTTGGAAACCCTAAGGGGCAGCTCTACTCTGTCCCCTAGGGTCGTTATCAGTAGGAATTGATTCCACGGCAATGGTTTTGGTTTTTGGTTTTTATCTTTCCATTTATTTACGTCTTCTTTAACGTTCTTCTGTAGAGTTTTAAGTCTTCTGTGTACAGGTCTTAACAGATTTTGTGTTTGATTTATTTTTAGGCATTTAGAATTTAGCATTTTTTTTTTCTCAGAATGCATTTTTTTAGTTGAGGTATAATTTATATGCAATAAAATGACGCACCTATTTTAAGTGTATAGTTCAATGACTTTTGACAAATATAAACACCTGTGTAACCACAGCCACAATCAAGATATAGAACATTTTTATCATCCCAGAAAGCTCCCTCATACCCCTTGCAGTCAATCCTCCCTACTTCTAGCCCCAGGCAATCACAAAATGGCTTGTTGTCACTATAGATTAATTTGCCTTCTTTTTTACGTCATATAAATGGAATCATAAAGCATTCATTTTTGTGTGTCTGGCTTCTTTAACTCAGCATACTGTTTTTGGGTTTCATCTATGTTCTCGTATCATTGTTGGTTTTAACTTTTTACTACTGAGTAGTAGCTTTTTCTTCAAAACTTTAGACATCAGAGTTTGATTTTTTTCCTCTTTCCTCCTCACTCTTCCCAACAATGGGCTTTTTAGCTCTCCTCTCTTTCTGCCTTTAGTGATTTCAGACAATAACGAGTCTCAGTGTGTCCTTTTATCCTAAAAACAGGGCCAGTAGTCCCATGCCTACTTTGATGCATTCAACTATGCTTCTTAGGACCTCTTGAAGAGGTGGTAGTGGGTGGCTTCCCTTAATCATTGCCTGATGGCTTCCTTCCAATTAAAAGAGGGGAAAGAAATTTGCCTGGCTACTGGTGCTCCTTGTCCAGGGAGTATTCTGGCCAGCTTGGGCTTTGGGAACTGCTGGGATTTCTGGCAAGGGGTCCTCAGCCTCCTATGTAGCTTTGCTTGGGTAGTCGCTGGCCTGATTGGCTTTGCTCAGCTGGCCCTCCCTGGAATGTCTTTGTCTTTCAGGACAATCCTGAGAAGACAGCTGCCTCTGAACAAGGGAGCTTTTACATCACAGGGGACCGAGGCCACATGGATGAGGATGGCTACTTTTGGTTCGTGGGAAGAAATGACGACGTGATCAATTCCTCAAGGTCAAGCTGTCTGATCTTTCTCCCTCCCTTTGGAGTATCACTGGGGCCTGGGGAGGGGAGGGCACTAGAAGAATTTGTTTTTCTCTTCCAGCTACCGGATTGGGCCAGTTGAAGTAGAAAGTGCCCTCGCTGAGCACCAGGCTGTCCTGGAGTCTGCTGTGGTCAGCAGTCCGGACCCCATCAGAGGGGAGGTAACTAGTTCATCCAAGGGCATGACTTCCTGGTTCTAGCAAGAGGAAGGTCCAAATTCCCCTATATCTCACCCTGATTCAGGTACCACAAAGCCTGAAATGGCACCATCAGACACATTCCTTTTGGTTAAACATTACCCTCATGTCTCTGGAGATGCAAATACTCCCGGGAGGGACAAAACTGGAAGACGTCAACACTTTCTCATGTTCAGTGGATACAGAGCTGGATCCAGAAAAGGGAGATCTTGGTGGCAAGTGCAGGCTCTGTCATCCATCCCGTCCAATAAAACGTCTTTCTCCATTTGCAGATGAAGATACAGGGAACATGCCAGTCATGGCTGCTGGGGGCTCTAACCTGGGCGAAATAGCCAACTTGCGGGATGACAGCGTAAACATCCAAAGTGATCTTGATATACCAGAAACATAGGCCAAATTTAATAAACTGGACTTTCACAGGATAAATGCAAATTCCTTCCTGTGGCTCCCAGAAAAATAGATAGAATGGGGAAAATCAGCCTAAAGGCTATGTACTTTTCATTGGCTGTCAATCCAAAGTGATCCCAAAGTATAACATAGTTACCTTTCAAAAGGTCATCTAACAACAAGCTGCATTCCCAGAAGCATCATGGCCACAGGAGCAGTTCTCAAAGTGTCATCCTGGGACAGCCCACAGCTGCATCATCTTGGGTTCTTGTTTAAAACACGGATTTCTAGACCTCAAGTCAGATTTTCTCGATCAGAGTGACTGGGGCTGCAACCCGGGGAATCTGCATTTTAACCAGCACCTCCCCATCACCCCACCCCCACCACTGCCAAGTGATCCTAGTGTCCACTAAAGTTGAAGACCACTGATTTAGAATGAGGGAGGTGAGAGTCCCATCTATGTGTTAAAGAAATCACAACTAGAAAATTATGCCTAGTTATGCATGCCACAAATTAACTGGGGCTTTGACAAATGGCTATGCGCTCAAAGTTTATCCATACATAGTGCTTAGAACAGAGTCTCATACATGGAATGTTTAGTAGTTATGATGGTAACAGAAAGCTCTTTCTAAAATTAGATCTGTCTGAACATGAAATGATAGTGAGCTTCCCATCTTTGGGAGGTATGCAAGTACATTTGGATGACCATTTAACAGGACCTTGTAGACAGAGTTGTATGCTGGTATGGATAAGGGTTAGACTGAGAGACTGAGTAGCCTTTTGGACCCTTCCTTTCTTTTTTTTTTTCTGTGTATTGTTGTACTTTAAGTGAAAGTTTACAATTCAAGTTAGTCTCTCATACAAAAATTTATACATACATTGTTATGTGACCCTAATTGCTCTCCCTATACTG